CTCTGAGGTAAAACCTAAGATATACCGAGTAAATGCTGATAAAATTTCGAAATTAATGTTGATTGCAGAACATTTCTGACTTTTACCACAAAGATTTGGTAAATCTTAGATTTTACTGGAAGATCTTAGGATTTACCATAATTTGAGCATTTACAGTAACATATATAACAATTGAACAGTTCTTTCCAATAATCGAATAAAACGAATGGTCAACAATATTACTGCAGAAACTTATGACTAAAACTTAACCTAATTATACACTAAAAGGAGACAAGGAAATCAGACAGATTGTTAAGGAAAGAGAAGGAGTAAGAATGAAAGACCCAGGAATCTTTTCTTTGTAGTTATATACCTCGGATGAATTGCTGGTAAACGATAGTCGATAGGTTTTGGAATTTATTTTATCACCTCTTTCTTATACTGGTCCACCTTGACCGGCCTATCTTCATACAGTTATCTATGCTAGCCTCCTTAACACTGGAAGATCTTTGTCTTCAGCATTGTATTTTCAGAGACCTACTTTCTCTTGTTATTCGCACAAACTGGGCCCACTACTAAGGTTAAACCCTCAAGATGTCATATACAGTTCTTCGATATTCTCACGAAAAATGTCCGTAGTCACCTCTGATCGCCCTGGCTGCAATACTGAGCACGACTCGATTGCACCTCCTGTCACCATGAGATCTCCACCAAATCTGTGCTTTCCCACTCTTTTGATTCCCTAGCAAGTTGTTAACTCTTTTGTTTCCCAATGTTTGTTCCGAGAACAGGAGAATCCACCCGAGGGAAAAGGGATTAAGATAGAAAGTTCTAGGTTAGTCGATACTAAGAACAAAGGAATTACTAAGCCTAAAATATAAATATACATAAGAGTATACAATAATATGACTGACAGCCACACTAATTAGCTTAAAGTTGCAGAAAGAGTTCAGAGAAAAGTACTTCAATTTTTTGGTTTTGTGTACAGAATTAATGAAATACAAAAATACCAATAGAAAATAATGAAATACAGTAACCAAATTCATACACAAAAGTTTTGGAAATAATTTTCAATAAATTTCTCATAGAATAAATATGTTTTTTCTATTTCTAACTTTTACCTTGTACAATTCTATATTCTTACTGAAATTTGTAATTATACTAAATGAATCTAACAAATTAATACAATTAAATTACTTAATTTGTGGCTAAGTTTTGTGGAGAATAGAACACTGTATAATATTTTTTAAAAAATAATCTTGAGCATAAATTATTTTTAAACTATTTCATATACTATAAAAAATAACATATTAAAATACTATACAGCTCCTGCTACTGATTGCAATATATCATAAATTTTAATATATCTGATGAATCCATCACTGACAGATATTAATATTTTAAAGCTATTCATATTAAATTGAAATGTAAATCAGAAAAGTAACAAACAAATGTTGAAATAAAAACTGAATAATGAAATATTAAAAATATTTCATGTAAAAAAATAATAAAGTTCATTAAGAACAAGTGTAGATTATCCAAAACAGCACCTTCGCTTGTCTTTTTTTCACACCAGAACTAATGATTTTATGATATTATCCAATTACCCGTGGATATTTGTCTTTTAAATAATTTACTGAGGTTGTAGCCTCAAATAAAAGGTCAAACCTTTGTGTCTTAAATTAGTTCCTGGCGTGAAAAAAAATATTATTTTGGATAGTCTACATTTGTATTCTTAATTAAAGACATTCCAGTTTTCATAGCAGATTACTGTATTTATTAATCAATATCTGCTATGGAATGGAATGTCTATTGAAAACAAATAAAAAATAAATAAATAAACTTCTTTAACACGTTCACAGCGTCAGTAGATAAACGTTTAAGCAGCTGCTGGGCATTACAAGTCACGGGTGACTCATAGTCTATTCTAATAAAGGACGGCACAGGTAACCCATGCCTCATACTATTAAATTAATATATTTTATTGCACCTAATAAAATAATATCGATATATCAAGTATGATGCTTGTAGAATTATGTTATCAAAACATATGTACCGCCCCATGGAAAAACAAGCAATTATGTCTGTAGCCTTAACCAGACATGTCCATACGAGTCACATGTGCTTTGTAATGCAGTGAACGTGTTAATGAAGACAGTGTGGTGAACATGCAGACGAACAATACAATAAAAGTTGTCTACAATAAAAGTTTTTATTGTTGGCTCGTGCAGTTATACATATACAAGATTCTTTAGGATACTCCAATATATACAATTTCCGCAACATATATTTCTATTGGTACAAGAGAGTAACATAGTTTTTCGCGACAATGTAAAATTTTACTTAACCTATCTTAATCTAACTTATATACTAATGAAGAAATATAGAATGAAAGGGTTAATATTAAGATTAAAATTATTAAGAACAGGACAAGAATGCTGATGGAATAACCGAGTTTTCTTTCTTCCTTCCTTTTGACTTCGCTAGTATCAAGGTAACGACTTTCATTGATTTTCCTTCCTTTCTTCTGTTCCGTTATTTCTCTCTCTAGACATTCTCAGATCTCTCAGTCCTATTCGGTTTCAACGACCAGGACCTCCTCGTATCTCCATCTGTTTCGTCCGAACGCTAGCTCCAGAATGAATATCTTTCTCCCAACTTGCCTCAGGGTCTTTTTTCCACACCCTTGTTTTTCGTTGTATTTCTCAGAAACATTTAACCACCAGCAGGGAGGAAGGACCGTTAGAAAGTTCGAGAAAATTTATAGACGAAAAAATGAGGAAACTTAATATTAAGTTTAATACTAAAAACAAAATATATAAACATTTGGTGTATCACCACAACAGTCTTTATTAACCTCAACTAAAAATAACATAAACCTCAAAATATATCTTGATTTTAATGTTTTCAAATATTAAAATGAGTCCAGTAAATAGAAAGCCTTCTCATATATAAATACAGTAGAACCTCGATTATCCGGACTAATTCGAGATGAAGGTAATCCGGATAACGAAAAATCCGGATAATCGAAACAAATATTTTAATTTGTCTTTTAATGATAATACAACACGTTTTCTTTTCGATGACATATTGGTAATATTAAAAGTAAATACTGTATTTAAATCGTGATCAAATTTTCAAGAAACAAACATTCGTATTGAATTTAGATTACTACTGGCCAACGCTAACAGACTACCTATTGTTTAAAAGGCCCTGTGGTGGCGCAAGAAGACGAATTTTATAAAATAAAAAGCAGTTGAAACTGCATTTTTATGAATAAAAATTTGACAAACTATTTATCGTTTTATGACGAGTAAAATTTTTTCGTCGCGTTCGCGGCTTTTAAGTAATGCATAAACCTTCGAGGCGCGAGGCCCTTCAGACCGCGAGACATAGGCGGTGGCCCACGTCGTCCATGCCTTACACCGCCCTTGGTCATAGAAATGATGTAATTTGAATATAAATTATTTATAAATACGTATGTCAAGTTATATTTTGATTACTACGTAAAATATATTTAAGAGTTTACGACCACTGTGATGGGTAAGACGTTGTTGAAACAAAAAAAGTTATGCATTCCATCACATACATAAACAGTGTCGTAATTCGCCAAGTGCAAATCAGCAAATTCGTAAAATTTTTGTTTATTGTAAACAATCCGGATAATCGAAAATCTGGATAATGGACGTCCGGATAATGGAGGTTCTACTGTAGTTCCATAAATATGAGCCAAGTAACTTGTTTGAAATTCTTTGACTAATAAGATCTTACAGATTTTCCAAATCAAATCAAACATACTAATATTTTCTAAATTTACAAATAACAGTTACATTCCAAACAACAAAAATTACATTCTAAATCTTCTAACATTACTAATAATAATATAAAAATTTAAGCAAATAATAAATTACTCCATAAAAGATAATCTTATATTGAAATTAATATACAGTGGTGCCTCGTATAATGTACTTAATCCATTCCAGGTGCACGTCCGTTAAGTGAAAAGTCCGTTATACGACACGCATTTTCCCGTAGAAATACGTGTTAAAACATATAATTCGTTCTGCAAAATAACCGTACTGTACCATAAAAAAAATGATAATGGAGCAGTCACCAATTATGCTGGGTAGTCATGTGTTGTGAGGAGGAAGTAGAAGAACACTTTCTTCACACATTCTTACAGATACAGACTTTTTACACATTGCAGCAGGTCTCTTTTTATTGTTTTTTACTCGGAGTCAGATTCAGGAGAGGCTACCGAAGCTTGCAGGTCAACTCCTCTTGTTCCATCCTTTGTTATTTGGTAGCTGGCTGCTTGAAAAACATGTCCAAGATGGTCTGTTTCTCTCTTTTCTTCAACATTTGTTGGAAATGGTGGGCAAGGGTGTCATTCATCCTGTTGTGCTCAGCTCTGTTTGGATAATGAATGTAGGTAAACTCCTGAACCTCTCCCCATTTGACAAGGAAGTTTTTGTCAACTTTCACTCTTTCTGATGATTTCTTGCATTGTTTCAATTGAAATCACCTTTCTGTTTTTTTTTTAGAAGCCACAATTTGCACAACACTTGAATAAATGTAAATACCCTGCACTGAGGTGATGTACATAATAAACAAGGGAGCAAGCCAAATCCCAACAGGAGCTCTGTACTTCAGATATACTAATAATATATTCTAATAATACTAATATATTATAAAAATAGCAGATTGTCATTGGCAATGGCAAAAGAGTGGAAACAGCATTTGCATTTGTTGGCAGAAAGTCCGTTGTTTGCCTCATGTAACTGCCAAACGGAAAGTCCATTGTTCGCAGCCAGTCCGTTGCTCCAGTCATGTAACGGCCAAACAGAAAGTCCATTGTTCACAGCATCCGTTATTCGAGGCGTATGTTATACGAGTTACCACTGTATATTTAAAACTGACATTAGTTTACTGAATATTTGTATTATTATAGATGATATAATATTTATTAAATAAGNAGAACAAATTGTATCAAATGATTTAAAATTATTTATTGTACTTACCTAATTGTTGCTTTTGTTTTATTTTTATTCAAAGTATTTAAAATTTTTCTTTCATTACTGCGAAGTAAAATATCTTGAAACTCTTTGCATCCACTTAATAAGACTATCTAGAAATATTAAAAATGGTATAAATTTTCAGTTAATAACAGGATTTAATTAAGAATAATTTACCGCAATTAAAATCTAACACAGTTGATAGATGTTTTCTTATAAAAATCTTAGTCTCAGCTGCCTCTTTGCTAAATTAGTACTTGATAAACTTTTATTATTTTCAATTATCATTCATAATGATAGACTATTAAATAAGAAACAGCAGGTATAAAATGCTGTACATTAATCTGTGGAAGTAATTAAGTGAAAATTCAAATTTTATTTTTCTAATACAAAGAAATTTTCCTACCTTAAAATTTTATAAAGTATTCAATTGATTAAAGAAACTGTGCATAATCATCAATGACAGATAGTAAGAGATAGTAACAATTTTTAATTTATTTAAAGCAGTGGTTCCCAATTAGTTTTTCCTGCGTACCACTTCAAGAAAAAGCTCAAACTCGCATACCCCTTATAGCAGAAATTCATATTAATCCACACTAATATTATAAATTCAAAAGTAATTCTGTCTGTCTGTCACCTTTTCGCATCTAAAGAGCCAAACAGGTTTTAATAAAATTTGGCACAGAGATAGCTTACACGTTGGAGATAAACATAGGCTACATTTTACTGCGAGAAAATATCTTACTTCCACAAGAAAATTCAATATAGCGCGGGTGAAGCCATGGGTAGACAGCTAGTGATAAATAGAATAAGTTTTTTTTTACTTTTATTACCTTTAAAATACAATTCTAATATTAATGAAAATAATATAAAGTTATTTAATTTTAATGCGACAAATGTGCGAGATTTTCTTTGCACAACTTTGTAAAATCTGGTCACTTTTTGGTCAGCTTCGGTCTCGAGTCATCTTCAAGTTGAAGTCCGTGACGATGTTTAGTTTTCATGTTCGACATGGCTGAAAAACCACTCTCACAGAGGTATGTTGAGCAAAATGGTAGTAAATGTTTTGTTGCCACTTCGCTGACATGATAATAATGAAAACTGTACAATTAACACAAATTGTGTTAATTGTACAATTTTTGTTTCTTGTGTAAGAATTTCATTTAGGTATCGTCACAAATGCTTTTTGATGAAATTTCAAGAATAATTTTAGTTATAAATAAATGAATTTTCGCATTTGACATCGTGTTGTAAATTGCCGAATTTTTGATGGTCCACCCATTATTTTTTTGATTGCTTCATCTTGTGCATTTAAATTTTAAATCGACCAATTTTAGATTGCAGCGCATACCCCTTCATGCAATTTCGCGTACCCCCAGGGGTACGCGTACCACCACTAATTGGGAACCATTGATTTAAAGTATCAATATGCATATATACAAGAATTCATATGGCACTTTACATTAATTCATTTATATTTCTGAATTAATGTAAAGTAGTGACCATAAAAACTGCCTCTCCTGATATCAAAAACCATTAAATTAAGCTAAGAGTGGAATTTCTAATGAAACTACAGAGAAAAAACTAAGAAAAAACAAACAGAAAAAAATACATTTTATTATGTATAATGCTATACAGTATTGAACTTAATGAAGTGTTATTTCAAACCTCAGCCTCATCAATGTTGTTAATGAGCAGTATGGCATTCACAGCATAAGTAGAGCTAAAAAACTAACATGAATAGTTATATCTCATTGAATGGGATCCTAATACCTCATAAGGTCATCTCAAGCCTTTGTGGCTGTATATATTCTAGAATATTCTAGATTGCATATATATAGAATATTGTAGATTGTAGTTTCTGTCCTCAATTGTTATCATTTCCTTTCTCCTGTCCTTTATTTCTACTTCACTCAGTTGTTGATGGACATTCTGAATCATTACGTGGGGCGAGTAAATGCTCGAGGGTTCAAATGTGGAAGTAATGGTTTCTCAGAGAATCTCTTGATAATGAGCACTGAGTTCAGTGTTAATACAATATTTCTTATACCGCAAGTACTTTCAACAAGTATAAATTCGTCGTCCTCAGGCGAAAAGGAACAGTGTAAACGAAAGAATGTGTAGAGTGTTCCAAGGAGTGTTTGAACAAAGGAAAAATAATGACACAGTTTCAAGAATGTTAATAAAATTAAAGCATTACTTTACTGGCATGGTTAATTAGGCTGATAGTTCTGTAGTTACTACAGTCTGTTGGTGCATCTTTTTTTATAAATTGGAGTAAATATTGATTTATACCATTCCTCTGGCCAACTCTCAAATTTCAAAATTAAACAGCAGATTTTATGAAATATCTCAACACCCAATTCTTCCATTGCTTTTACAATTTCAGAGGTTATGTTGTCAGGTCCTGGAGCTTTCTGATTTCTTAATGTATTTATGGCTTTTTCTACCTCTGATTTAAGAAGAGATGATTCAAATTCCCCTGTCTATCCATTCTTAAGTTGATTATTACCATTTCTTTGTCCAGTGTCTTTATAAAGTTTCTCACAATACTTCCTCCAGACATCCGCAATCCCTTCCACATCAGTTATGATTTCATTTACACCACTTTTAATTATTTGTGTGTGTAGTTTGAACTCTCTTGCTAGATATCTAACTTTATCATATAGTTCACGAGGATGACTATTATTTGCATGGACTTCAATTTCATTACATATACTGTCAATGTAATCATTTTTGTCTTTCTTACAAGCCTTTTTGATTTTTTTTGTCTAGCTCTTCCTTCTGCAACAATTGCTGAAGTTAATAATTTTCTCCTTTCATCTATTAATTCAAGGGTACTATTTGTCATCTAATGTTTCTTTTTCTGTGGCTGATGTTGTGTGGTGCATTGTTGTACTCCAGTTAAAATCCAACTTTTTGTTTGTGTCCAAAAATCATCTGGGTTGTTTATAAAGGATGGAGGGTCTAAATTTCAGAGTCTGTTGTAAGATTGAACTAGCTGAAGTCTCAAGTCTTAAGGTTGGTCTTTGATATTTTTGTTGTATGGAGTTTTAATGTTACTTCCGCTTTTAGTAACTTACAGAGTTGCAGAATGCTCCCAGTCTTCCTCTGACATTATTTACTGACGATCTCCATCTTGTTCTTATTAACATGTAATCAATTTCGTTTTTATATTCACCTGTTGAAAAGGTCCAAGTAGAAAGATGCCAATAATAGTGTTTGAACATGGTGGTAGTTATTGAAAAACTATTATCAATTGCAAATTGAAAGAGTCTTTTTCCTCTCTCATTTCTTAAATGAGAGAGGAAAAAGACTCCTTCAATTTGCAATATTGATTAATAAAAATCTACAAATTTTGATAAAATTTCTACATTATAATTTTATTTCTGATTAAGACTAAATAATTTGTTGAAAAATATTTTAAATATAAATTTTAAGAAATAGTATTCATATAAACTCACTAAATCATAAAGAGATTCAGATCCATTAATTTTAGAAAACTGCTTCATTGTTTCAAATGCTAGCCCATATTTTGCCATGAGATACCCTATTTCTAGAAGAAAACTTCTTATAAATAATCAAATATATAAAATGTTTTAAAGAATTAAAAAATATATGTGCATTACAGTGGCGTGCCGTGACATTTGGTGATAGGGAAGCTGTGTTTCTGTAAGAAGCCAACTTCTAAGGGCAATCAGTTAAATGCTCATCAGTGATGGTGTATGGTCCATTTGTATTCGTTTGTTTGATAAACCAGTAAAAACCGTAGACTTCTCTAAATGTATTTTTAATATCACAATTACATTCTGAATTGCTTGCCACGATATAAGGGCTACAACTAAAAATAAAATTATAAAAACTTACTTGGTGAAATAAAATGTGTGGTGGATGTACATACTTGTTACAAAATATTCGTCAATTGTATAAATATATTTTTAAAGAAAATTATAATTAAATATAGCTTTGTAAAGAAATGTACATAAAAATAACATAAAATATTCTTTACTTTTTAAATCTTCAAACAATTCACTTAGTCAAATAGCTCCCTACTAGTGGCTAATGGATGAAACCGGAGACATTCCTGGTAGGTGTGCAGTGTGTGCATACACACGGGCTGGCAAATCTCGAGGGTGCCGATACTGGTTAATGTCAAATGCCTCTTTTGTCGCATCACTAGTGTACCTCAATGAACACGACAGGGTTATTGTAAATTTTAAACATTTCTCACCATAGCTATAAAAATCTACATATGTTGAACTTAATAGATTGTCTGTTATTTGTTTTCTAACTAATTCTACTTAGAACCAGATGTCCATGGAAATTTCTAAAATTTACAACTTTTTGGCCACTCTCATTGATCTGGAAGAATTTCTGCCTTTATTACATCTAATATTACGAAGAAATCAGTCCGCACTGTACTTGGCTAGAGATTGTTTCAGTTAAGCTTTTAAGTAAAATTGCGGCTTTTTCAGCAGGGTTTTATTTATGTCCCTAATTCCGTAATCTCTTAATTATTTAACTACTTTTTAAGTATATTAAAATAAAATGCAGAAGACACTGAGATCAACATTACATGTACGTTTTTTTTCGCAAGCACTTTTGACGAACTTATAGTTGTCGTCATCCGGCGAATACAGTATTTCTACTTATTTCTACCTCTTAAGTAGAAATAAGTTGAAACCGGTTATTTTGTACTTGAATATTTGTAGTCTTGGGAAAGAAGTGGAAAGACAAATTTTATGACAAAGAATACATAAATCGTAAATTTAAGGAAAATAAATTCTATAGCTTTTTTTGTACCTTGTGCGTCTCGTTTATTAAATTTAGTTGCAAATGATGCTGCCAAAGTAACAGTTAATTTTTTAACATTGTACAAGAATTGTACACGTTTTTTTCTGCATCCCCTTATAGATGGGACATACTAAATCATAATATCACTAGTTTAACATTGAATACTGTAAATAATACAAGATGGGAGAGCAGAATAAAAGCAGAATAAATATATCAAATATTTTAATGGTTTTTTTTTTTTTAAACTCCTCTCAACTATACAGAACTATCATAAAAACATACCAGTAAACTTTTATTTGTTGGGTTAAGTTATAAATTTACTCGTGATTCGCATAATGGGGCGAGGGCAGCCGAATACCTAGCACACAGGCGGCTAACAGCCCAGAACCGATCCTGGATAGAATCATAGGAAGCATTATATGATATTTTGGTGTGTAGCATCCACTAGCTAAACAGTGTAAAGTTGGTGCTCTGTAAAGCCCGTATGCAAATGTGTATAATCTGGCTGCTTTACACGATTCAAACATTTTTGCTGTGGAAGATATCCTGTATTCGACAATATAACTCTTTCATTGGGAATATGCATATATGATATATAATATGAATTTATATTCAAATATACAATTGCAATCTTGTCATTTTTTTCACATTAGAAATTTGCAATAAGATACATAATGCGGCTATAATAAAATATTAATTTTAAGTAATTCAAAGTACATTAAAATATGAAAATAATTGCACAATATGTATTTATATTTTAGAAAATATAAAAGAAGCTGCGCTTCCATCACTTCCAAGGACGGCACGCCACTGGTGTATTATAAGTTATAATTTAATTTTCATGAAATAGTAATAGATGTATTGAGTAATTTTGTAAAGAACTGTTAATGTTTCCAGTGAAAACAAAATTTTTATCAATAAAAAACTTATAACTTTAAAATAAGCAAGTAGGCAAATAACTAAATTTAGAATATAGAATTAAATAATTTTTTTACTTATGCTTTCAGTTGAATAATTTTTGAAATTCTGTGAAGTTTATATATAAATTTATTTTGTATAAACATTATTCTGTTCAAAAGTTTATTGTATGAGATCTGAATTACCCTGGGACTAATTAATAATTTAATTAAAAAGTTCAATTTTGAAACGAAAAATATTCTTTGATTTTGGTGGGAAAATAATGTTTTCTAAAACAAAGGAAACGGGCAAAAGTCACTTCCTGCAACGGAAGATCAACATCCTTTTGTTTTCCCCTTATCTAGTAAAATCTTAGTCACCCTGAGAATTGTTAACCCCTCGATAAATCCCCTTTTCCTCTGTTCACGTGAGAGAATCCGAAAAGCTGACTGGAGAAAACTCATGAGAAATATAAAGAGTTTTGCATGATTCGAGGAGTGCGCCAAAAGTTCTCAAAGTGAGAAGACGTATTCTATACCATCTCCTGAAGGTCAATGCCCACATTAGACTCCCATGTATCGTTAAGTCAGTAGATAAAGAAGAAAATATATAAATATGTGCCAGTCAAGACCTACTCAAGAAAAGACTGAAGTCCATTATTAAAGAACAGAAAAAGATAAAAAGTATCCAGAGGTAGTATGATTACTATAAAAATTGTGAGCTCTCTCTCTCTCAAAATTGCTTAATTTGCATATTCCATTTTGTATAATTTTGTTTGTTTGTCTTATTAAATTTTTGTTTTATTATTGTTAAAGAAATGTCTCCTCGTATCTGAATCAAAATGGAGGGTTTATCTCCTATATCATCTCTAAACGCATATTAATCCGCGTACGATAAATTGATTAACTGGTGTCATTATCCTGAGGTTGGATAAAGACTTTACAGTCTATATCCTATCTAATATCAACAGCCCTCCTAGAAAAAGATTAGAGATCAAATCTCGCAATTCTGAATCGTATAAGTGGTACCCTTAGTAGGTACCCTCGGCTAATCTCACAATTGCATTTTTATGTCTGTTAATAATACACTATTGGAAAAACTTAAAATTTTGTTTAACTTATGAAATAATTTTTACAGTCTCTATGAAATAGTATTCATACAAACCTTTTTTAGTATTTTTNTTTATTCTAATTATTACTCCTAACATTTTAATTGATCTCAAAATTATAAAATATAAATTTAAAAGTAATTAGTATTAATAAATTTTTAATAATATTTGTTAAGATGTTAATAAATCTTATTGAGCTGGTCTTAAAATTACTATATTAGAAAGCTTAAATTGAACAAAACTTAATTCTATTTTAATATTTTTAGGAATTCCAGCTGATTTAAATAATGAAAAGATGGAAAATAAACTACAAGGTAATGTGCATATGTTTTTTACAAACAAAGAATGCTGGAAAAAATCATCAGCCTGACTAATCGAATCAATTTTTTCGAAGTCATCGCTGACTAAATTACATAATTTTAGGAAAAAATATTGCATTTTTTAAAATTTTAATAAATTTTTTTTTACTTTACTTGACTAACAATTTACAATAATTAATAATGTAATGTTTTTGCATATTATTGTGTTGAGAATTAGATCAGTTAGATGTTGAATTCAAAGTAATTATTCTATGTAATTTGAAGATCTATAAATTTGATCTTGAAAAAATATTAGGCATAAGTATTTTACTTTAATATTAAAGGTTACACTTACATGTTGTTGTGTTATGAACAATGACTGTTTAGAGTTTGGACAAGTTCACAAGCACTTTCGATAACATACAGTTACCATCATCAGGTGAAAATTGAACACAACAGTTTTATATTTTGAAACTTTCAAACAGCTTGTTGATTTGAACGAAGAAGCTAGATAGAACACCAATTTAAATTGAAATTGGAATATAGTTTGAAAATATTTTTGCACAGCAGTATGAATGATGTAGTTTTCACAAATAATAAGTGCTAAGCAACGCTGAAGCTCTAGAAATGCAGGTTATAATGTTTAAATAGTGTTGTCCACATTTGTGGAATTTCTAGAGTTGTTGCATTGCACGGTGTAAGAGTCAATATATATAAGTTCTCCCAAATAAAAAGTTCTTTTTGAATATTGCATTCTTTTAATAGTTTTATTTTGGCCCAGATCGGTTGATATTCCTGATCAAGCACTTTTTTTCGCCAATTCTGTTGATGGTCTACTATTTAGGATGGCCTCTTGATATTCTGTGATGCGAGATGTTAGCGTTCTGGCCGTGGCTCCTATATAGGTAGTTTCCTCTCCTGATCGATCATGCTTTAATGGAATTTGATAAACTCCTGATTTTTCATTCAATTCAAAGATGTCTCTATCGTTACATAATAATCTTCTAAGCGTTGGTTGTGTAGTTAGCGGTAAAATAAAATCATTTGCTTTAAAAATATGTACAATTTTAAGAGATACGGGACCTAAAAACGGTAACAGAGTGTGCTATTTTTAGCTCCTCTTTGTTAGTGAAAAAAGTTTGAGGAAATAATTTATTTTTAACACAATTCCGGAGATAATAAAATTTTGACTGGGAGTAACCAGCTTCATGCATCGTTTTACTAATAAGCTGTAATTCTTCTTCTACCAACGCTTGGTTTGAGGGGAGAAGGAAAGCTCTCTGCATGAGGAAAGTTATGGCAGAGTTCCCGTAGTTTTTGGGTTGGAATGCTCTTGCAGGAATGATTTGAGGTATGTTGTTGTTTTTATGATGAACAGAAAACAAAAGCTCAGATTTCTGGATATCTAGGTCTAAGAAAGAAATTCTGGCATTTAATTTCTTCTTCTAAAGTGAAATTGATAGATGGATAAACAGATGCCAACATTTGAAAGAACTGTTCTAAATTGTCTGTGGAACCTTTCATGCAAGTATTATGTCATCTACATAACGTAAATACATTATTGGGTATTGGATGGTCAGAAAGGCATTAAAAATACGCTGTTCTATGTT